GGAGGATAACCTTGGCTTGTTTTTGTCCGAAATCCCATGCCATCTGTGTTTCCAGTGCTTAGAACTTCATGGGATTCTCCCGCTGCAAGGAGGAAGTGGACCATCCTAGAGCTACTGGCGTGAGCGAGGCTGTGGTACTGCCCCCTCCCGGTCCCTGCTCTGGGCATGTGTCATTGCTGAGCCGAGGGCGGGGAAATGCTGGAACCTTGTTTTAGCTTAATCTAGAATTGTAAATATACAGTTCCAAGTATCGTGATTTTCTTACCCTACATACTTCCCGTTTAAGTAAGGGATTTTTTTTAAAATATATATTTTATTGACTTTTTTACAGAGAGGAAGAGAGAGGGGAGAGGGATAGAGAGAAACATCGCTGAGAGAGAAACATCGATCAGCTGCCTCCTGCGCACTCCCCACTGGGGATATGCCTGCAACCAAGGTACATGCCCTTGACCGGAATCGAACCCGGGACCCTTCAGTCCGCAGGCTGATGCTCTATCCACTGAGCCAAACCGGTTAGGGCTCCGTAGGGGATTTTGACGTCACTATTAAGAAATATAAGCTGCCTGTAGTAGATGTATATAAGGTGTGGGTTATAGATCGGCTGTGGAGGAGAAATTGTCTGCCCATTAAGACAAGGTGGGAAGAACTGTGGTCAGTCATAGTTTGATTTTGTTGTTCCTAGAAAGAGGTAGTAGTGAAGATATTCTCATTCATTGTGGCTGAGTTGGGGAAGATTATAGTAAACTAGAGGCCCAATGCATGACATTCATGCGAGAGTAAGCCTTCCTTCCCCTTCGCCTGCCGGGACCCGGGCTTCCCTTGCAGCCCCGGCTTTTTTTGGAAGGTCGTCCGGAAGGACATCCAGTCTAATAAGCATATTATGCTTTTATTATTATAGATGTTCTCCCTAAAATTGTACATCAGCAGAGGGAATGGGTAGAAGCTACAACAGTGATTCTCAGTCAGTTTACAGATGTTTCGCTCCCAAAGAGGTGGATCAGGAATCTTGTAG